ACTCCCGGGGCCGGGGTGCGTGCCCGCGGGACCCTGTGGCGCGTCCCTGTGACCGTCCTGCGGTCTCCGTCCGGGCGGCCACTGGCCACGTGTGTGCAGCCCGTCATTCGGAGGACCGTGCAAACCGACTAACTCACAATTTAGCCTGCTGTTTGGCCCAACCTGTAATTACCTAACCCTAACGCCTTGGCAGGGCCAGGCCACGCTACTTCACAGGCCGCACAGAGCCGCGGACCGACGTTCCCCTCCCCAGTTCGAGAGCCTTATTTGAAAGTATTTACGCCATTTTCTTCTTTAAGACCCTCGCCATGCTCTGCTACATCATCAAAACTGTGTAACTTCCTCTTCCATCTTCACTCTTCTTTTCTTTTCTTTGGTGAAAAAAAATGGAGAAATGGAGAGGGTTTTCAGCATCTGGACCAAAAGCTATTGTAGCGAAAACCAAACGTGCCAAAACTTTATCCAAGTTGCGTGATCCGTTGCATGATTCCGGTTTCCGTCTGGCACAGTCATGGCTCACAGGTTTTTGTGGCCACAGTGCAGTCTCTTCCCATTTCTCTCGGACCCTCTCAGGATTGACATGGATGAATTGTTTCTCCTTTCTCCAACATGGGAACATTATATGCAAAACTGTGCTGATCTCTCTACAACCCTGGAGACCTTCTGTGATAAAACGTGCCTGTGCGTTCTCGTTGCTCTCCATTCGATGCCCCACCCACGCGCGCCGTGAAGTGGTGCGCCGCTTGTCCCGCCTGTCTTGTAGCACGTAGCACGCAGCACGCTGCCCTCCTGGTCCATCCGTGTTGCTGCTGATGGCAAGTGCTCTGTCCTTGGTTTTGGCCGAGCAGCACCCCCTGGTGTGCGTGCACCACGCCTCCCTCGCCCCGTCCTCTATCGAGACACTTTGGTGGTTTCCAGGCCTCGGCCGCCGTGAGTATTGCTGTTGCATGTGCCTCTGTGAATAACCGTTTTCAGGTGTTTTGGGTGGATGCCCAGAAGATGGACTGCGGAGTCGCACGGTAAGTCAGTATTTCATTTTTTGAAGACCCTCTGTCCTGCTTCCCATCGTGGCCGTGCCCGTTTATATTCCCACTAGCAGGGAGGAAAGCTTCCTTCCTCTTACCTCTGCAGCACGTAAACTGCTTGTCTCGTTGGTGGCTCCCTGCGGTTTTGAGTGGCGTTTCCCCGGGAGCCAGTGAGGCGGAGCGTCGTTTCCTCTCTGTGGTCGGTCTGTGGGTCTTTTGGGGAGAGTGTCTGGGCGGGTCCTCTGCCCATCCTCCTGTTGGGATTGTTGGCTTGGGGCTGAGTGGTGTGCGTGCTCTGTAGAGGGTGAGGGCTCCTTGCTGCTGTCTCATTCCCACTGGATCAGTTGCCCTTTTGTCGTGTTGGCTGCCTGTGAGCCCTTCGTGGCCATGGACGGAAGGTGGTGGTGGCCGGATGGATGTGTGATGGCGAGAAAGGCTTGGCTTTGGGTGGCAGGCGCACAATGGCACATTCAGATGTTGTGTCACAGCACAGCACCGTCGAGACCTGTGTGATCTTATTAAATGTCACCCCAATACACTTAATGGGCACAGTAAGGTTTTACAGCCTCAGAAGCTGACAAAGATGTGCCAGAATGAGAATTCACAGAGAATGTTGAAAGAAGGTAACATGGGTCAACTACTTTGCAGGGGGGGTCAAGTGTCAGCACACTTTGAACCTGTATAATTTCATTAACCAATGTCACCCCCAGTGAATTCATTCAAAAATAATAACTGTTTTGAATGTTATGATCTAACAAAATTATTCTTTCTCCTCAAAAAATAGTATTTTGAATTGAATCAAGATGAAATCATAGCATATCAAAATGTATGGGATGCTGTTAAAGCTGTATTTAGGGGCAGAATTATAGCACTGAAATGTCTGCCTTCGATTTCAAACCAGTGACTTTACAGTTGGCTCTTGAACAACACAGGGTTGAACTGGATGGATCTACTTATATGTAGACACCCCCCCCCCCCCCCAAATCACTATATTGTGCAATTCTTTGGAGATTTGGAACAAGCTGGGGAAATTTGGCAGGAAGGTGAACTGTGTAGGAATGTTTTTTCCAAGTTAGGTATGTCAGGAGTGCACCACATACAGGTCCGTGCGGTCCGTTCTGTTGTTTGCCAGCATGGAACACGCGGATAAAGCGTGACAGTTCATAGCGGCCCACGCTGACCCGTGGTGCCCACGTGCCCGTGTGGATCCCCTCGTGGCCGCCTTTGGGTGACGGTGGTCATTCCGTGGGTGAGCCGTGTGTCTCTCGTGTCCGTTGTCTGTCGCAGTAAAATGTGATCTCTGTGGTTCTCCCGTGTTTTCCATGATGTTCAGTGCAAAACCGTAGCCTTGGATCACCAAGGGACCCCAGGACGCGCCCTGGTGCCGCTGGGCTGAGCGGAGGGAGACGGCACAGCGCGAGCTGCGTGGAGTGAGCTGTGGACGGAGCGGCAGCAGTGGTCGGAAAGTCAAGGGGACGGAGACGAGGACGGAGGGGAGGCAGCTGGGAGCAGGCACCGGCGCGCGCTTCTTGGGGCCGTGGGGGGCCGTGTTCACACGGCGCAGGATGTGTGGCGACGAGAGGGCGCGCGCGGGCGGCCCGAGGACGATTCCAGAGCGAAGCAGAGGAAGAGGACCAGGGAGGCCAGGGAAGAGGAGCATCTGGAGCGGAAGACGCGGTGTCAGCAAGGACGATGGGCCGTTTGAAAAGAGTTTTGCTTTTAACAAAGATAATCGTCAGAGCGATGGTGGCAGCGGGCAGGTCTGGGGAACCAGAGGAGCGTGAGGCGGAGGAGGACAGCGGAGTGCGGTGCCCGCCCAGGGGAGGGAGAGGCGGAGAGCCGTGAGCGCCGGCGCAAGGCACGCAGGCAAAGGAGGGCGCGAAGGCGGCCGACCACGGGCTGAGGCCGAGGGAAGACGGACGGACACAGAGGCCTGGACAGAGGCGCTGCCTCTGGAGGGAGGGGCCGGCCGGGAGGACACTCAGGGGCTGGGCCAGGACGCAGGGAAGGCGGCCGGGAGAGGAGAGGCAGCAGCTGGAGGCCGGAGGGCGAGGCCGGCAGAGCCGTGGTCGGAGAGGGGGCCCGTCCATCCGGCGGAGAGAACCGTCTGGTGCCGAGCACATCACTTCTCAGGACTTCAGGAGCCAATCACAGACATCATGAAGCAGAGGAGGGGGCCGGGGCGACGGCGGAGCGAGGCCCCCCAGGCGGGCGCGGGAGGCGGACGCCGGACGGCGTGACGGCCGCGGAGCTCGGAGTGGACGCGGAGGAGGAGGAAGAGGAGGAGGAGGAGGAGGAGGGGGCCAGTGGCCGGCCTGGCAGAGGGAGCCGGTCGCAGACACAGCGCAGCCTCGTCCTGGAGCGGGGCAGCGGAACGGAGCGGGGGCACGGCGGAGACGGCGGAGGCACGGACGGTCCTTCGGGAAGCTGGTGACACGGTGGAGGCACGCTGCCTCCGGCTGCCCTCCAGCCCTGCCGCCCGGAGGCGAGGCCCAGAGGACGGCGGCCCGGGCCCGGCCCTGGGCACAGAGCGAGCGGGCGAGCGAGCGGCCAGGCTCCGGGGGACGCGGACGGCGCCGGCGAGGTGAGTGCGACCCGGGAGCGTGTCCGTCCGTGTCCTGTCCGCGTCCGCGTCTGTGCTGTGCCGTGACAGGAAGGCCGGGCCTGCTCCACGTGGCCGCTCCCGGCCACTGGCTTATGCTACGGGGAACGCGAACCCCCTCTCACGGCACACCCCCATCCCGCACCCCGTCTCACGCCCTCCACCCGCACCCCCATCCCGCACCCTCGTCTCCGGCCCTCCCTCCCTCGCCCCTCATCCCGGTGCCCGTGTGGCGCAGCGTGGGCCGCTGGGGGGAGGGCACCGCGGGACACGTCCGCGCTGTCCGGCAGCAGCGGCGGCAGCACCCAGAGTGTCCGCACAGCCCCTCGGAAGGGTTTTTGCGGTGGGAACACGGGCTGGCGTGGTGCCAGGACGCGCACAGGTGGGTCCCGGAAGGCCACGTCACCCGCAGCGCCCCCAGGTTTATAGTTAGGTTTTGGGGGCGTCTAACCCTAAAACACCAACTTCTTTTACTCTAGGGGGGGGTGTCCAGGCCCCTCGCCCTCCTGTTGTTCAAGGGCCAGCTGTGTTCTCACTGTGTTACTCTGACGGGAAGGAAAAGGACAGACAGCTTTAAGGAAAACCGTACAGGACCCCTAGAGCATCAGTGAGCGGGTTAGTGTAAAACTGTGGAGGAAATGGGGCGCGTATAGAAGTGCTCCAGGCCACGGGTTCACTTCGCACTGACGTTCCCATCAGCGTGTGACCCCCCGTCTGACCTTAGTGAGAGTCAGGTCCTGTGCCGTCCGACTCCGTCACCGCCATCTCCTTCAGGGCCGCCTCGTGCTGCGCTCGCGTCCCGGGACGAGGCCTGTAACCAGCGGGGGACGCTTGGTCAGTCCTCTCATCCTGCTCCCCCACCCCGCGCCCCTCCCACCGACTCCCAAATGCAACCTCAGCCGCATTTGCGGTTTGTTTCTGTGCTGTTTTGTGCTGGTTCTGCGTGTAAGTGAAATCATACGGTGTTTGTCTCTCTCGGCTGACTTCACTGAGCGGACGACCCTCTCGGTCCATCCGTGTGTCCCAAACGGCAGGATGTCATCCTCCTGCGGCTGCGTCACACTCCCTGGCAGATGCGTACCAGGCCGTCTGTATGCTTTTGTCTTCGGTGGACGCTGTTTGCGTCTGTAGCTTGGTTATTGTGAAGAATGCTGCCGTGAACATCGCAGTGCAGTGTGTGTGTTTTAATAGTGTGTGTTTTAATAAACATTGGGAAGGGAGCCTGGCTGTGTGGCCCAGTGGTTGAATGTCAACCTGTGAACCAGGAGGTGACTGTCCAGTTGCTGGCGGAGGCTCGATCCCCAGTAGGGGCCGTGCAGGAGGCAGCCGATCCATGATTCTCTCTCATTGTGGATTTTACTCTCTCCCTCCCCCCTCCTCTCTGAAATCAGTAAAAACACATTTTTATTATAAAACAACAACAGCATGGCTCCCTCGGTGTTGGCAGGCCTGCTCTGTGCCCGCTCAGCCCTTCCCCAAGGGGCTGGCCTGCTCCGGGCGCAGGCCTCCGGGCGGCGGGAGCTGGGCCTGCGGTCCCCGGGCCATTCCCACCAGGGCCCCGCCCTCGAGGGGAGAAGCCCTTGGCCCCCGGGGAGCACCCCGACAACCCGCAGAATTCTCACAAACACTGGGACCGGGACGGAACCCTGTGGTCACAGTGCCCCGGGCCGCCGGCTCCCTGGCTGGCAGAGATGCCAGAGGGCCAGGCCCCGCCGGGCAGCTCCCGGCGGCACCGCGCGGCCCTCAGGCGGCACCACGCCCAGCTGCTGGAGACGGAGACGTCGCCCTCCGCCCTGTCCTTCCACTGGAAGGAGGAGCTCCTGCTGCGGAGGCAGCTGGGCCTGCTGGACGCCATGAAGAAGCGCGAGGCCCGCGCCCGGCTCACGGAGCAGAAAGCCTTCTACTGGCGCAGCCACGCGCAGCTGCAGCGGGTCGAGCTGGCCCACGCCCGGCTGCGGGGCGACCGGGACCTGGTCCAGCGGCTCAGCTGGCCCACCCGGTGGTCCTACCCCTCGGGCCCCTCGGATGAGAGCGGGGCGGCCGTGCAGGCCATCCTGCAGGGCCGGCTGGGAAGCGAGGGCGCGGGGACGCGCCACTGCAGCCAGGAGGCCCCCCAACACCCCGCGCCCATCGGGGGAGGACAGCCAGGGGAGCAGGGGCCCCGGGCGGCACCCAGGGGTGTCACCGAGGCCGAGGACCCATGGTGGGTCCTCCCCGTCGAAGCCCAGAGCCGCCCGGAGCCCTCGGCCCAGCCGAGCAAGCCCCCTGGGCAGACTCCCCCCCAAGCCCATGAGGCCGGCCGGCAGCCGGAAGGCAAGCTGCTGCTGTACGTGATGCACGGGGAGCTGGACGCGGAACCGCCCGAGAGGAAAAGGCCGAGGCCCGGGGAGCGTGCCAACGCCCGTCCCCACCGTCCCCACCGCGACAGTGCTCCCCGTGACCGGCTCTCATGTCTGACCTCACAATAAACACCGTCAGACGAGAACCAGCCGCCTTGTCCCGCGGCCCCGCGCCCCCGGGTGAGCCCCGGGGCCTTACCTTTGCTCACGGTGTGCACGGAGCCCGCTGACCCGGCCGGCTGGTGCAGAGGCCCTGGCGAAGCCCTTCCCGCCGGAGACCGGGCTGCGCGCGGGAACCGGGAGCCGAGGGTTGGACCAGACGACCTTCGGCCCTCAGTGTCCCCGGGGCAGTGCCTGCTCTGTGTCCCACAAGCAGGTGAGGCGAGAGGAGCACCGTCAGGCCCTTGTTCCCGCTTCTCTCTGAAAACAGCACCACGCTTGTTATTTTTTAAACTAGAAGCCAGATTCACGCACCAGTGGGGTTCCCCGGCCTGGCCTGCAGGGATCAGGCTGACACCGGCTCTCGGACATCCCCCAAGGGGCCCCCAACTGCGAGAAGGTAGCTCTCCGGTGCTGCACCCTGCATATGGCTCCCTCCTCTCTGCTTCCCCGAACGGAATGTCAGCGAGAAATGCAGCTGCCACATCACCGCAGCTGCAGCTCCTGCAGAGCGTCTGCCCTCTGGTGGCCAGTGCGCGTCACAGCTACTTTTGTGTACACGTATACATTGGGATGGCACTGGCGGAGATGACATGGGTTTTAGGTGCATAGTCCCAGGGTACAGCATGTCTGTCTGGTCTTCTTCCCTCACTGCTTATCCCCTTCCCCTGCTCCTACTCAAGTCCTTTTGTGGTTACCCAGATGGTCCGGGGCAGGTAGATGGAGGAAGTGGTGCTTTTACATGTGAGTGAATGCCAGTGGGGCTCTCGGGAGATACTGTGGGCGTTTTTCCTGGGTGTTGTGTTTCCAGGTGTGTTTTAAGGACCTACTTTAACATCTTCACCCTCTTCTCCCCCTACCCCCTCTGATAGTCTCCATACTATTTGGGTGTTTTTCTTAATCCCTTCACCTCCCCCACCTCTCTCTCTCTCTCTCTCTCACACACACACACACACACACACCTCATCTGTCTGACACACCTGTGTGAGTGGGTTCTGTTCTGCGTGAGCCTTAGCTGTCAGATTCCCCGTGGAAGTGAAGTCACAGATGCCATTCTCCGGCTTATGTCACAGGGCTCAGGGCCGCTGGGGGGGCCCCAGTCCACCGTGCGCCCTTTCCTCGTTCCCTTTATCTGTCGATGGACACGGAGGTGGCTGGCGCCGTGAGTGTGTGGATGTGTGTCTGCTCAGGGCAGTGTTGGGGGTTGCTTCCGGTGACGACCCACAATGCAATGCTGGACCCGTGGTTCTCGGGTTTAAGGTCTGTCTCGCCCAGGAAGCATGCCACCCCTGCCTTTCCTCCGTTCCCAGAAGACCCCTGCGGTGCCCTTACAGTCCCGTTTCCTATGGGAAGCGAGTCTCTTGCAGGCAGCACCCCTAAGGGCCTTGTTCTCCGCCCCCCCCCCCCATGCCTTTGATCGGAGCATTAACGTCTGCATCTGGAGGAGGAGGTTCCTTTGGCGGCCCATCCCTCGCCTGGCAGAGGCGGACCACGGAGGAGCGGCCGGGCCGGACCTGGTGAGTACCTGGATGGCCGTGCGCCGTCTCATTCGGCTTTGGGGCCTTGTAGTGTCCCACACACCGGTTGGGGGGGACGGACACTCCTCTCCTTTCACTGGGGACCCTGCCCGAGCCTGTCCCTGCGGACGGGCAGAGCCGCTGCCCTCCCGAGCCGGTGGAGGGCAGGGGCAGAGGCGCCTGTGGGCTCACTCCCTCTGTTGGCAGGGCGGCGGCTGCAGGACGGGCCCCGGAGCAGGACTTGTTCTCCTGGGGGCCCTGGCGTGTGGGGCCTGGGGGCGGGGCCGGGAACACGGCCGGCTGCTGCTGGGGTGTGCTCTGGTGACAGTGTCCAGTGGGTCTGTAGCTGGTTCGCGTGCAGGGGACGGGTCAGGCAGGCCTTTGTCTGGCTGAAGGCTTCTTAACACACCGTCCTCGGGGCCCCGCGCTGCCTTAGGTGAGAGGCCCTCGTCCTCCCGCACACGCAACCCACTGCTGCTCGCTGTGCCTCGGGAGGCGGGCCTCCGGGGAGTCACGCTGCAGGGACGTGTGTGCACGCGTGCTTTCTAATCGTGTCTGGGTCTCCTATGTGAGAGCTGACGGTACCTCTGACAGGGGTGCGGTGGTGTTGTGTCGAGTTCTCTATACATTTGGGACGCCCACCCTCGGAGGGGTGTCCTTCCCGGGCTCTGTCTTGTTGACGGCTTCCTTTGCTGTGCAGGGACTCGGTCTGACACACGCCATGCTTTGCTTTGTGTACTTTGCGTGGGATTTGTCGGGGAATCCTGCGAACAGGCCTGTGAGACTCCTCTGAGTCTGCCCTGCACACGTGTAGGAAGGGGGTCTGTTTGGTGCGTGCTGCTGTGCTCACTATAACCTGTAGGCGGTTCGGTACCAGGCGGCGTCTCCCCCTCCTCCCCCCAGCTCCGAGGCCAGGCGGCCGCGGTCGGGCTCGTGTCCACGAGGCCTCAGTGGCTTGGATGTGGCTGCTCTGTGGTTGGGGGGATGCCGGGACTGCGCTTACCTGCTCTGCGATCTTGACCAGAACCAGGAGCTTCTTCGCAGACGAGCACTGTGGGCCGGGCAGGGCCGGAGGAAGGTGTAGGAGGGCATGGGAGGCACAGGGAGCAGTGTCGCTGGGTTCGGGGGGACAGGGGAAACAGGGACACCAGCCAGCTTCCTGGCGGCGGCGGGCAGCCGGGGGAGAGCAGTTTCGGTGGTTTGTGTGGGAACAACGGTAACAATACGGGAACGAGCTGGTCTCCCCGCGCCCGGGAGCTTCTGCTCCACCCTACGCGACAGGGCGCAGCTCCGCCCCTCCTCCCCGGGAGGCGCAGGACTGCCGCCTGGCACTGCCGGGCAGGGGCCGCGGCCCCCGCGGACTGTCCCCTTCCCAGCAGGGGCGCAGCCATCTGGTCACTGACAACACTTCCTCTCAGAGCGTTTTTCAGGTCGTTTATTTCCACTGTTTGTTCAGTCTACTCTAGAGCCGACAACCTAGACGCAATCACAGCACAATCGTCATACAGATGTCGTCACAGCAAGGCGAACCGAGCACAGGTCTCGTCACGGGTCCATCACAGCAGACGCCCAGCCCTCCTCGCGCGCACACGGGCGCGCCCTCCGCGGGGCCCGTCACCTCCTCACGTAGGAAAGCGTGTCCTGCAGCAGCAGCAGTGGTGGAATGCCGCAGGTTATTCGGCAGATGGTACGGCGCCATCTACGGCGATCACTAAGAGTTAGAGTGGTTCTGAAAGACCCTTCCCGCCTGCGATGGGCGTGCTGGCTGTGCCTCGCCGCCGTGCCGGCGCAGCAGCCGGGAGGATCCAGGCACACACCGGCGCAGCCCGCAGCTGCGCAGGACACGGCGTGTGTCCTCCGGTAAAAAGCCCTCCTCTCTCACTGCCGTGAAGGAAACGAACACCATCGACACACACTAGGGGGATACTCACTGCTGAACGTCCAATAACTTAGCCTACTGGGACCTGCCACGTCGGGGAGCACTGACACTGACGCCTCGGGGACACGGGGTGGGGACGGGGCTCCCCGCCTGCAGGCTGCGTGCCGTGGTGCGGGGGGGGGGGGGCCGCGGCCGTGCTGTCCCTCGGGTGCAGCCCCGGGCCGAGCAGACAAGACGAAGCCAGCGCCCAGGGAGGACTTCGGATTGTCTACGGAGATGCAGGGAGGAACTCGTCACGGTTATGTAAGTGCACTTCACATGCTTCGCGTTCAGACAACAAACTCCTGACTTCCTTGCAACCGGCTGCACGCCCCGCTCCTCTTGGCCGAATGCACTGCCCCGGAACTCAGAACCACGACAACAAAAGCAGCCTGCGTGCGCCTGCGCGGAGGTGCCTGGCGGGGCGCTGGGCCAAAGGAGAGCTGAGGGCTCCAGGACATTCCGAGGTCTCCCTCCATCTTTATTGATTTCAAGGTTTTGCACAGAAAGCTCTTTGGGGACTAGAACAGCAGCGAATGCGTCACACTGTTTTCAAGACTTCAAGTTTCAAAAGCAAATTGTTAAAAAAAAAAATGCAGTTCCTGATTGGAGGTGGATGTGGGACGCAGGAGAGCGCGTACTTACTGGAAGGTGGCGTGGTCTGCGGGCGGCGCGCCCCGGGGGAGCCGTTGGGTGGTACATGTTTTCTCAACACTCAAACGGCTCAACCTCAAGCAGTAATAAACACAAGCGAAAGTGATTTAACAACCATTAAAATAAATATTCAGAAAAACCTCTCTGTACATACAGTGAAAGGGTAGGAACACTTTCACGCAGAAAAATAGGAAAGGATTTGTTCACAGAAGGAGCCGACACCTGCTGTCCCCCTCGGGCGGAGGGAGGAGCGGGCAGGGGACTACGCTCACCGCTATCTGACAGCCGCCGGCACCACACCGCGCCCCGCGGGACTCACTGGCTGCCCGCCGGCTACAGCATGCCGAAGCCTTTGGCGTACGTGATGGCCTTCAGCAGCCGCTCTTTCAGCTTCTCTTTGCTGGAATATTCCGGAAGTAACAGGACGTTGAAGCAGGTGTGCGAGGTGGGTAACCTGCAGAGAGAGAAGGGGGGTGGGGACGGACACAGTAAACCGTGGGGCGCGTGCAGGGTCCCTCGGTCCTGCTCGCCGGGGTCTGTGCGCCGAGGGGGCGGCAGGCGGCCACCTGGTGGGCGTCCCCGCCACAGAGCTGACACCCCCGGGAGTTCGCCCTTCAGGGCAGAGGTCACATCCAAGGCCCCACGCGCTCCTGAGCGCTCGTCACCACGCTACCGGGAGGCTCTGCACGGACACCGCGGGGGGACGCTGCCCACCAGGCTCCTTCCTCACCGACTGCTCGCGCACAACCGATTGGCGGCCTGGTGCTGACCCCCCGGGCCTCAGGGAACGTCCCGGAGGCCACAGAAGGGCTTTTGGCAAAGCATGCTGAGCCCGAAGCTGGCTCAGGCCAGGGCGCACGGGCCCTGCGGAGGCTCCGAACCAGGCAGTGTTTGAAAATGTCCTCAGAACATTCTCTGACACGCGTGCGGTGGTGTGGAGACCGTCACGCCTGCGTGGGCTAGAATGCAGGCGTGTTGGAAACGAACATCATAGATGTGGCCAGTACCGTTCTGTGTCGGGGCCGTTCTTGGCGATGATCATCTTCAGCTTGCCAAGGCCGCCCACCGGCGCCCGGTCTGTGCCCGTGGTGAACTGCAGGAAGAGCCGCTTCTGCTCCTCGGTGAATGTGTGCACGATGTCCCAGAATTCCCTGTGGGGAGAAGGCCGCCGCTGAGCACTGGCGCTGAGGGCAGCATGGTTTCCCTTCACGTGTAAAAGCCGTGCTCACTGTGACGTTATCAGACGGCGAGAGCGGGCACGCCTACCTGACCGACACTCGGAAATAACCCTGTGACCTGCGGCATTTTCAGAGCGAAAGACAAAAGCCAAACTCTAGGACCAGGACCTGGACGAGGGCACGCGGGACCTGGCGAGTCCGAGCCATCGGCCTGTCGCCGTGCTCTGGGCTGCTGTGGGTGTTCAGGCAGCGTCCACACACGAATGTCGCCAAAACATGGCCTTTTGTGAGCGCGACGCCGTTCCTGACCGTCAGTGTGGGCGCTCCCCCGCCTCAGCTCGGACCCGTGGCCGGAGGACTGCCAGCAGTCAGACGTGAGCCGGAGCCCGCAGGCACCTCCTCAGGACGCCCCACGCCGGTAGCTGAGCCCAGACCCTGTCAGCCCCCTGGAGGGGCCTGGAGAGCAGGCGGCAGCCAACCAGCCGTTTCTTTGGTTCTTTCTAAAAACTTGGAATTATTTAGACAAAAAGTGGCTTCCACTCGACGTGGTAGCGCACCCATCACATCTCAGGCCGCGTGGCACAAGGACAGCGACGGACACAGCACAGCAGAGGCCCTCACAGGAGGGCTGGACACCGTCCTCCCCGCCCCTCAGGACACTCACCACCCCCGTGAGGGACACTGCGCAGACGCGAGCGGGGGCCTGTCGCCACGGACCTGCCCTCCAGGGGACAGCCCCAACACGGAGACGGAGGCTCTCGCCAGTAACAGCGTCATGTCAGCAGGGGAAGGAAGAGCTAACGGGAGCCGTGGCATCCGCCACAGATGCCACTGCGGCACCACCACACCCGCCACGCGCTGCACAGAAGGCGCACCGAGGCCCCGAGGAACGGACCTGCCTGCCCACATGTGCGTGGGCTGCACTGCCAAAGGGGGCGCCACGCCGTCCCAGGACACCACGCAGCAGGGGTGCGAGGCTGCGGGGCACGAGCTGGCCGGGCCCGGGGGAAAGAGGGCCAACGAGACCGAAGCAGGAAGCCTAGCGCCGCGGTCGCCAACTGCAGTCGGGAGGTCCAAAAGGTCGGCGACCCTGGCCAGAGGGCTCCGCGCAGCCACAGTCCGATGGGACAGACACACCCTCCATGTCACCCAGGCGCAGAGCCAGCTGCGGGCTGCGGCAGACCCCAGGGACGGTCACGGTGAAGTGCGGCAGGAGCCCGCCGGAACGTTCCAGTGACTGGTGTCTAACCACCAGGCTCACGCCCGAGAGTATCGCAATGACGACAGCCAGTTTCTAAATCTGAGCACTTCTTTTCAAGCGACTTACCTAATCAGAGACGAGTCCCTGGAATAGCCACCGTCATATTCTGTGGTTTCTTCCAGCGCCTGGAAATCTAGGTTCTGCAGATTGTTAAAAAGTTCATCTTAGCATCCCCTCGGCGCACCACTGCCACCCCACCCCACACGTGGCCTCGCGGACCCCCGGGGGCGTGCTTACCCGGCTCCCGCATATGAGCAGCTCGATCTCCTCCGGGCGGAACAAGTACTTCAGGGGGGACTCATTGGTCACCATGTGGAAACCTCTTCGAAAAGCCTTGAACTGTTTCTCTACTGACTTATTGAGAATGTAGTCAGAATAGAGATTGACAAATTCCTGCGGAAAACGTCAACCACAAGAACTCCTTACACGCTGTACAAACCAACCACCACAAGCTGCGGGGCTGCACGACTCTCGGAACTATTTTTCATGCTTACGCTCCTAAAGAAAAGATGCTCAGAAGTGTTTTATAAACCAAACTGCACACATGCCGACTGCTCAGCTGCGATGCGATGTTAACCTGCCAACAGGCCGCGTGCGGAAACTAACACGGAGCGTGAACACTGGCGGCTCCAGTCTCGAGGCCGCAGCCAGGAGACGGGCGCGTGCAGGGCAGTGCCAGGAGCAGCCAGGAGGCGGGCGCGTGGGCTCTAGCAAACCCGTGTCCCATGCAGGGCGGGACCTGCTGCACCAGGTCCCGAAGGGAAGGGCTGTGCTCTGCAGACGGGGCGGCGCAGAAGCAGGCGGTACCTTCCGGTTCTCGTTGGTGACGGGGATCTTGTCCCCATTCTCCTTCAGGTCGTACATCATGGGGTTCCCGAACAGGTCCGTCTGCGAGATCTGGAAGGTGATCATCATGTCGTCCTCCACGCTGCCCTCGTACGCCAGCAGGTCCTTCAGGCTCTGGAACAGCACCTGGCGGCAGAATGGAGGCCTGGTCACCAGAGCCGCACAACACAGAGCGTGGGGTCACAGCACGGCGCCCTGGCCGGCATGCTCAGTGGGTAGAGCACCAGCCCGCACACCAGAGGGGTTGCAGGTCCGTTCTCACCCTCTGTCAGGGCAAGTGTGGGGAGCAACCAACCACTGTGTCTCTTATCGCACTGACGTCTCTCCCCCCTGCCGACGCCCCGAAAAAAAGTCGGCGGGGAAAAGAAAGCAGCTCCCGTGGGAACTGAGGGTCCCGGTGATGGCCACTCTGCTCGGGAGCCCGGCGCCGGGAGGACTGGGGAGAGGACGCACAGGCCCCCGTGGCCACCCGCCCTTCCTTGTGGCTTCCCCGTGAACCAGAGGGTGAACTCTTTCTGCGGCCCGCCCTCCGGACCGCGCTGAGACCCCGCCCGCCCGCCCGCCCGGGAGAGCCCCGGGGCTGGCCACTCCCGCGCTGGGCGGGCGGGGCCGCTCACCGGGTGCGAGTCGCCCAGGTCCCGGAAGGTGCCCTGCTTGCCCAGGAGCTTCCGGTAGGCCACCATGGGGAAGTGCACGTCCAGGATGCAGTTGTTGTAGATGGCCAGGCCCAGCACGATGCCGATAAGGGTGAACTGGCCCTCCGTCTCCAAGGACGACGGGTTGAACCAGAACAGCTTCGTGTTCTCGTCGTAGGTGAACATGCCTGTGAGAAAGGATGCAACACGCTCGTCTCTGTCACCTCAGCACTGAGAAACCAAAGCTCGCCTGTGTGACGACACTGGATGTAATTTTAAAGAAGCCAAGGACACAAGCAATTTTGGGGCATTTACCAAAAAGTTGGATTCACGTTCTCCTCTAACACAAACGAAGTTAATTTACATTCATACTTTATCCACCAAATAGCTGAAAAAGGCAAAAAAAAAAGAGAAAAGGCTGTCCTATGGTGAAAATGTTTTAGTTTTAAGACATCTGTCCTCCACCGGCCTGTGGAACTTGTCTCGGAAAGGCTGTGCGTCTTGACGTGTGTGTGTTGGATGAAGAGGAGCCAGGCCTCCCGGGCTCCGTTTATTTACCGGGAGGTCACCCCACGTCACACCCCTGGCCCAGGCTGACGGTGAGTGAGGTGCCTCGGCCCCGGAGCCCGCACACTGTTGGGTCTGAGCCGAGGCCACACCAAAGCACGTGCTGCTGCCACTGCTCCTGCCGAGCACAGCCTCACCGATGTCGGGGTTGAAGATCTCCTCCACAACCAGCTGGAAGAACTCTTTGGAGACCCCTCCCTCGTCGACGCCTTGCTCTCCTTCGAACTCCACGTACAGCTGCTTCTTCAGGTCCGCGGGGTTCTCCATGGCGATCATCTCTAGCTGTGAGGGAAGGGGAAGGAGCAGGTGACTGCGGCGTCGGCACAGCAGCGGGCAGAGGGGACGCGCATGCGGAGGGGCTGGGCAGAAGGAGGGGCCCTGGCTTCGGGAGTGCTTCAGGTGGAGGAGGAAGCCGCGAAGGCAGACTCGGGGGGGGGATGCGACAGAAGAGCCTGCGTCGAATGATGAGAGGCTCCCGTTCTGGCGGACGGACATGAGCAGACGGTGGGGTTTCCTGTTCCTTGCACGCAAGACCCCTGGGCTGTCACAGGACACAGAACTCGGGACCACGCACACTGAGCCTCTTCAGCCAAAGCAACGGCACAGACGTCCGACCCCAGAACTGCTCCCGCACGGGCCCTCACAGCGCACACAAGCTCTGGAGTTAAGCAGCGACATCTACGGAGCCGTCGTGCGCGAGCTCCAGCTGCGGTGACCTCCTGCGTGGCCCTCGGTGCTCGTCACACCCCTGGGCCCACTCGTTCTGCTCAGACCCTCCTAACTGCGCACACGGCATCGAAACCTACCATCTCCACTATCCGTCTTCCCCAGCATTTCTTTGTACATACTGAGCAAACAGTCGTCATGAGATGAATCATAAAACCACACTAGATTCTTCTCTCCTCTGCTCTAAAAAAAACAAAACAACCCTCTAGATTCTAGTGAAAAAATATTTGCACGGCAGTTTATGTATCGAAATTAACAGCATGCCTTACTTACTAAATTAAATGCCTTCTGCTGTTAAAGACATTTTTTAATTTTCTAAGAATATTTAAGGGTTTTCATGTTATTGGCAATTATTCCAACTAGAATTTTAAGAATATTTCTGAGGTAGGCTACCCACAAGTCAGTAAATGTACAGTATTTTACAGACCCACTTATTCATATCCGGACCGACACTCGGAGACAGGAAATAAGGGAAGTTTTCACCAGCAGAATTCAGTTGCTGCCTGATTTTCAAACACCACTTTTGACACTTTACATTTGAATGCTCCTGATTCTAAAAGTAACATATACTTAGAATACAGGAAAGCGTAAAGGGGAAAATAAAAGCCGCTCCTGATGTTTAAACAGACTGCCAGTCCTCGGTGAGGGGCAAGTTCAGGTGCCGAGCGTGCTGTCTCAAAAGTACGTACCTGTGGGCAGCCTACCCTTAAAAAATTTACTTTCAATAAATGTGGCAACAAATTACATACCGTAAAATTTAGCACTAAGCATGGAGAAAAGACTATTATTATGTAAGAGACTACATTTTTCACTTTTACTAAAAGTAACCATTTTCAACCCGTTGTTCACGTGGAGAATAATTAAGGAATTAAATTGTAAAGCTGTATCACTTTTCACAGAGACATCAAAAGCTGTCTGGAATGCAGACTATTCGAACATTGGAAAAAGTCTGTCAATGAACATTCTGAAAAGGACAATCTGCTTACACCGTGAGGTGGACTCGTCGAATATGCAGATCTGGATCTCCCTCTCTAGGTCTGATAAAGGTAGGCATGTTTTACATTAATGTGGCAGGGAGACTGGCAGGAGAGACACTGTGGAAACTAACAGGAGGGGTTCGATGACAAGTCCAGTCCCATATGGGGGCGGGAGTTCTTAAAATGACTCTCGGGTACCTATTTCTGAAAAGGCAGCTTATATTTTATTAGATTTCAGTGATCCTAAAATTCACATTTTGACATCTCTGAAATCTGGACATACCATACAAGTGACAGCATCTTCCAGAGAATTGGCAGCATTTTTTCTTGTTTAGTAGCAATAAAATAATGGTGTGTCTGCAATCAGTGGTATCTTACGTCTAATAAAATGCTGTAAAAACGAAATCCTTCTGCTGACATCAAAGGCAGTTCCTCTAAGAACTCCAGCCAGGGAACAATGTGCTAATCTAGTTTGAATTACATGATATGTGAAAGCAGGGAATACGTATTCTTGTTCTAAAAAAAATATTACTAAAGGCCCCCGCATGAATTCATGGAGGGGCTGGGCCGGCGTGGGGGAGAGGCCGTGGGCAGTTGGCTGACCTGCCTCACCCCCTGGTCAAACTCGCCCCCCACCCCAATCAGACAATGTGCCTATTAGCCTTTTATTATGTAGGATTAACTGAAGTTACTGCCCATTAATTAATAACTGGAAAGTTAAGACCCAATAGAAAACATGTTCAAGGGTGTCATGTATGTGGGCTGTTCTCTGGGCCGCGTTGGTCAGCAGTGAGCAGATGGACGCCGAGGCCTGTTTAGCGTCTGACGTCTTGGGCCCTATGGCCTTACCTGCTTACTCTCAGTTTGGAGCTCACTGCAAAGGGTTTTGTTTCCTCTTGTCTTCCTGAATCCGCTCCATCGTCCAAAATTAACAGACGGCACAACGGGTCTGTCTGACATAAGCTGGAGGAGAGGCTTTAAAAAAGCCAAGTGTACCCTTGGGGAGCAGATGCTGAAAACCCATCGGGACGCTGACAGTTCACCCGGGAGGAGGGCCTTGTCCTGTTTGCTGACGCCCCCCGACTCGCACACCCTGTGAGCCTCGGAAAAGCCAGCAGCCCGCAGGAAGGGAGAGGCAGGCGGTCAGAGGAGCCGGAGCAGCTCCCCAGGGGACGGGGGAGGCGGCGTCCTGGCCCGGGTGCCCCGTCACTCTTGGCAGAGCGCCTCCCCCGGACCCCCGGAGGCCTGCTCCCGGGGCAACCTGGTGCGTACTGACCGGCAAGGCCCCCTCACTCAGCTCTGGTGGATCGAGTAGAACTCATTGTTAGGACAACCTGTTAACCCTGAAGCCTGCTTCAGAGGGAAGGCCTGACAAACCAAACTGGGTCACTGTTCCCTCAAACGCCAAACGCTCGTGTGGAAACAGGAAGCAGCGCCCTCCGCGGGCGCTCGGAGCAGAGGAAAGGCTGCTGGCTGAGGCGGGGGCAGGAGGAGGGGGAAGCGTGAGACTTCAGGAGGACCTCGCTCGGGCCCAGGCTCCGCACCCCACGCCACGGGCCCGTGTGCACGTGGCGCCGCAGGCTGCGGGGCGGCGTGGGCAGCCACGACGGGACCCTCACACGGACTCCTGGCCACCTCCACGCGGCCCCCGTCCGAGCCCGTCCGTCCCCAGCTTCCACTCCTCTTCCGAACGGAGCCCGTCTGGGGTCGGTGATGGAGCTCTAGAACCCCTATCCTCCCCGGGAGGGGGGGCGTTATAGGACAGCCAGTGCTTGGTGGGACACACTGAGCTGGGCGGGGACGACAGGAGGCGACACGCAAGGAGCCTGGGCGTGGGCAGTGCGCACACACAACCTGCAGGGGAGTTGGAGGGCAGTGCGCCTGAGCTGTGTCGCTTTGTTAACCGGTGCCCCGGGAGCGCCGTGTTCCGGCTACGTGACACCCTCCTGTTTTCCAGGCCCCGGCGGGGAGCACTCACCCGGACCAGCGCGTCGTCGATGATGTGGTCGCGCCGCACCTTGAGCCGCAGGTAGGGGTTCAGCTGCTGGCCCTGCACCAGGCTGTAGAGCACGGTGATGCGGCGCTCGCTGTACATGCGGATCCGGTTGTCGTAGTACAGGCCCAGGCTCTTGGTGACGGCGTTGAGGATGAAGGGGCAGGTCATGAAGGAGAACTTGCTCTCCGTCTCCACCTTGAAGAAGGTGTAGTCCTTGTCCATCTCCAGCGCGTCGTTGAGCGGCTCGTTGACGAAGTCCTCGAAGGGCACGAGCGGCCTGCGGCAGTCCAGCGTCTTCACGCCGAGCTCGGTCTCCAGCGGGTCCACGCGGGGGCCCTTCTTGTTGCGCCGCTCCTCGCCCAGCAGCTCCTGCAGCGTCAGCTCGCTCGACTCGGGCAGCGGCTCGTCGTCCTCGTCCTCGTTGTGGCCGGTGTCCACGTCCCCGCCCACCACGTTGGCGTAGTACACCATCTTGAGGCACTTGGAGGCGGCCACGATGGCGTCGTCGTCGTTGACGAGGTTCCGGTCGCTGCCCAGGTTGCGGTTGTTGAACTCGTTGCTGATGACCTTGTAGGTGATGAGCTGCTGGAAGGTCTCCATCATCCTCCGGATCTGGTCGGCGCTGTACCTGGACCACAGTCTGACCAGCTTGGCCTGGGCCGCCAGGGGCAGCTTGCTCATGGCCTTGCAGAAGAGTGGCAGGGCCATCTCCAGGTACTCGGGGCTGTGCAGGTTCCTGTTCTCCATGACGATGACGAACAGGTTCAGGTAGTTGGCGTCCCGGGAGTACACGTTGTGGTACGTCAGGTCGCACTCCACGTTGGGCGACAGGTACACCAGCGCGTTGAGGAAGGCGGTCTCCACCTTCTCGTTGGAGAGCAGCCTGCCGTAGACCCTCCGGATGGCCTCGATGTCCACGGACACATCCTCGGGGCCCGGCTTGGGGGCGCCGTCGCCCGTTCTGGAGGCGGCGGCTCCGGAGTCCTCCTCCATCGCGGCTACGGTGGTGGTGGCGGCTACGGTGGTGGCGGCCGAGCCCGTGGCCTTCTCCTTCTCGTCTTCATCTTTGTCTTCGTCCTTGGCTTGCAGAGACTTGAGCTCCTCCTTGGTGTGCTGCTTGACCTTCCGGAAGCTCTGCACCAGGGCCTCCGCGCTGGAGAACACTCGCCCAATCACACGGATCAGAGGGGAGTAATCCTCTCTCTCTCTACATAACTCAAGGATTTCGTAGACGATTTCTTCGGTCAGGAAAGCCACATCTAGGAATCGGGGGGAGAGGGCATTTACGAGTCCTGGTGAGAAGCAAAATCACCGAATCCGTGCATCCAATGAGCACCAGGTATCACTGACAATTCTGTCTAAAACTTTGACAACAGCCCTCATCTGTGTGGCTCAATGGACAGAGCATTGGCCTGGGACTGAAAGGTCCCGGGTTTGATTCCGGTCAAGGGCATGGACCGTGCTTGCGGGCACACCCCCAGTGGGGGGGGTGCGAGGCAGCTGATGGATGATTCTCTCCCATCAATGTTTCTAACTCTCTATCATCCCTCTCCCTTCTTCTCTGTAAAAAAAAAAAAAATCAATAAAATGTATTTTTTAAGTTTGACAAAATATTGTGCTGGCCTGTTTTTAATAAACTGCTGACACCCACACCTCACCATCTTTCCCATCCTTCAGTGACAGCCTCACTGATGCTGCAGCTCCCCAGTCACTGCACATCGAGCGAGGCCCTGGCCCTCGCCCCGCACTGCCACCTCCCTCCCTCCTCTGTCCTCAAGACCCGGAAGGCGCGTCAGGAAAGGTCCTTTAGCAGCCCCCCCCCCCCCCCCCCGTTCAGGTTGCCCCAGGCGGCGTTCTGTGGGTGACGGACCAATCAATGCCTTCACCCACTCTAAGGCTGACAACCAGGCCCAAATACAGCCCTGTGCGCTAGCTGAACCAAAAGCTTCCTCTTTTACAACACTCACCTCTGCCCAGCCAGTGTGGCTCAATGGTGAGAGCCAACCTATGAACCAGGAGGACACGGTTCTTATTCCGGGTCAGGCTCGATCCCAGTGCGGGGGGAGGCAGCCTATCAATGTTTCTCTCTCTCATCAATGTTTCTATCTCTATCTTCCTCTCCCTTTCTCTATGAAATAAAAAAAAAAAATACCGTGTTTCCCGAAAATAAGACATCCTCCGAAAATAAGACCTAGCGCATGGAAACATAAGACATCTCCTGAAAATAAGACCTAGCGCAACTTTGGGAGAAAAAAATTAATATAAGACACTTATTTTCGGGGGAACGGTATATAAAAGACCTCCACAGGCAGGCGATGATTCTTGGCAGCAACGTGCCAAATGCCGGGGGGTGCGGGGGGGGGGGGGGGGGGGGGGCTGAGCAGAGGAAGGGAAGAAAGTGCTAGAAGGGAGACAGGGTGACTTCTTGGGGAACTATTACATGTGCCCTGAGTTAGAAATAGACACACACCACCACCTCCTCCACCCCCTCCTCCTCCTCCTCCTCCTCCTCCCCCTCCTCCCCCTCCTCCCCCTCCTCCACCCCCTCCTCCCCCTCCTCCCCCTCCTCCCCCTCCCCTCCCCCTCCCCCTCCTCCCCCTCCCCCTCCCCCTCCCCCTCCCCCTCCTTCCCCTCCCCCTCCCCCTCCCCCTCCCCTCCTCCCCCTCCTCCTCCCCCTCCTCCTCCCCCTCCCCCTCCTCCCCCTCCTCCCCCTCCTCCTCCTCCCCCTCCTCCCCCTCCTCCTCCCCCTCCTCCCCCTCCTCCTCCTCCACACACGTGCTGGCCATCACGCCAGGTTAGGAGAGGAGCTACCACTGAAGTAACACCTTTCTCCCAGCGGAAATGTTTTAAAAGTTCCCACCAGCAAAAACCGGTGTGGCTCAGTGGATAGAGCGTCGGCCTGAGGATTGAAGGGTCCCGGGTTCGATTCCGGTCAAGGGCTTGTACCCTGGTTGTGGGCACATCCCCAGTGGGGGGTGTGCAAGAGGCAGCTGATCCATGATTCTCTCTCATCGTTGCTTCTAACTCTATATCCCTCTCTCTTCCTCTCTGTAAAAAAAAAAATCAATAAAATGTTCTTAAAAAAGAGGAGAGAAAAAACTTATAAAAACAAGCTCCCACCACTCCGTCAGCAGACGCTGCTGCTCCTGAGAAACCACGACAGCAGCAGCCAGCTGAGCTCCTGGCGCTTCGCCGCCGTGGAGGAGTCCCCAGCCCCCGCGGGAAACAGCCCCTCACCTTTGAAGTCGCTCCTGGACGCCGGCCCGTCCTTCCTGCTCCCCTTCCCGTCCGCGCAGGCGCCGGCCCCCTCTGAGCTGTCCAGGCGGGCGGAGCCGGCCCCTTTCTTGGAGGGGTGAGGGTCGCAGAGCTTGGCGTTGGCCTTGTAGAGCTCGAGGGCCTTGATGGCGGCCGCATTGTTGTCCATGCGCAGGAAGGACGGGCAGGAAGCGCAGCACGCGTTCGTGCAGGCCTCGCTCCCGCAGCCCTCCGTCAGCTGGTGGTAGTAGCGCTCTATCAGATGCTTTGCAGCTGCTCGCTTCCTGTCCAACATCCAAACAGTAAGCACAGTGGTTAGTGAGCTCCCCCCACGACAGCGCCACACACACCGGCAGTTAGTCAGGCGCTGGAGTCACGGACCTGTGGTTAGAGGCGCGGTGAAAATGGAGACCCACTGACACAAGGCTTTCCTAACAGTGAGACATCTGATGACTGATCCTGAGACTATGGCAATGCCGGTCGAATCATTCTTCAATAGAGAATGTTCTCCTTTGGCTTAAGGGGGGAGCTTTTGGTTGGTAAATAGAGTTAAACTTTATCATAACTGGTGAAAACCACAAGGTTTATGGTAAGAATTTCAGTATTTTCTCACTTTGAAAATTAACATTAATCAATGAGAGTCTAGCCCTAACGGGTTTGGCTCAGTGGATAGAGTGTCGGCCTGCGGACTGAAGGGTCCCGGGTTCCATTCTGGTCAAGGGCATGGACCTTGGTTGCGGGCACATCCCCAGTAAGGAGTGTACAGGAGGCAGCGGATTGATGTTTCTCTCTCATCGATGTTTCTAACTATCCCTCTCCCTTCCTCTCTGTAAAAAAAAAAAAAAAAAAAAAAAAAAAAAAAAAAATATATATTTTTTAAAAAAAAAAAAATGAGAGTCTAAAGTATCAATCCAACTTTCCTTGATCTCACCCATTTGTACAATACCTGCTTGATAGTCAACAACTTCTATCTAGAAGAAAACATGTTTTTCCCCTTATCTTCCCTGTGGGGGTTTTAAAATGAATTTATAAATGAAACAGCCAATACTATAGCACAAACAGCCAACACTGTATCTCGAACCTAGAACATGCTGTCACACTGGCTCAGTAATCTCATGCCACGGGACAGGCAGCACTGTCAGCGCCTAGGGCAGAGCCACCGGTGCCGACCCTGTGCGTGGAGATGAAGGTCCCCCCGTGACACCAGCAGAGCCCCAGCGCCAGGGCTGGCTCGGCCGACACCCAGCACCCTGACACCCAGCACCCAGCCGACACCCAGAGGCGGCTGCTGGATCACCAGGAGCTACTCATGGCTCATCCTTCTGGTCCCAAGTTCACATACACGGCAACAAAAACCACCGAGAAAAATCAGAACCCTACACAAAGTCCACCTAACTTAATACTCAAACTGCCCGACGACTGTCTCACTGTGATGCAGGACTCAGCGGCCAATGGCATTCAAGCTTGCATCTTGTTCACTGGGAGATGCATCTCATTAATCATGACAGACTGACCCTCACAGGAAGGCAGAGAAGCGGCAGGTAAGGGAGGGACACGTTATTAAGTCCAATTTTCCCGCAAAAGTAGGCCCTTGTCTGAAACTATCAAGGTGGCAAACACACCCTATTCATTCTGGCACTTCTAGTCTCCAATGCCTGTACAGGGCCACCCCTCACCATGCAAACAGGGAAGACACACACACACACACACACACAGCACCTGCAGGCACGTGACCCAGGGGTTTTCGCTGGACAGCTGTACACCAGCCCGTTTTAAGCACACCCTCCCACGCAGACCACGCAGGCCACACGTGTCCCGGAGAGCGCGGCTCTGGCGTCACGCCTCTCCCGGGCAGGGCCTTCTAGCAGGGAAGGCCAGCAGGCGGGCACCCCTTTCTGGAGGAAAACCAGCCTCCAAAACCACCAGCGTGTGAACCCTGAGAGAGAGAGCCCACGTGAGGGAAATAACTGGACAATTTTGGGGAAACGCAGTCTCTATGAAATCTGAAAAACATCAACACGCCTGCCGACAGATGATTCCTTAAATGCTTACCACTCACACAGGGAGTAACTAAAACCACAATGGGACACAGAAGCTTGGTAGGAGCAGAGTTCCTCTCCCATCGTGAACTCCCTGTGCCGCCCCCCCCCCCCCCCCCCCCGGGGCGAGCCTGTGGCGTGCAGACACAGTGCGCAGGGGAGGAGCCAGCTGCCGCCGCCTCGCTGTTGTCACCACCCTCCGGTCTGCAGAGGGCAGAGACCTGAGCCCGGGCCTGGGAACCCCTGGGGGAAGGTGCCCACGGACGTGGCTCTGCAGGGGAGGAGCCCGCCACGCCGCCTGGTCCCCGAGGGCTCAGGCCTAAGGGGCCTCCTCTCGTCCTCCTCACTCGGAGACACCCCCGATCACCTGTGTGCGATTCTGCAGGCCCTCAGGTGGCCCGTACAAGGCCTGCAGTGGGGAGTGAATGTGCACACTAGGAAAGTCCAAGGTGGACTCCTCTACAGCAGCATCGTCACACCACAGCTCAGGGCCATCGAGCCCCACCACCCACCTGTCCTCAGCGCCTGCACGCTAAGCATGGTTTTTACAGTTTTAAATGGTGGAAAAGGTCAGGAAAAGGAACGCTCTGTGACCCGGGAAATGACATAAAATCCACGTGTCGGGGTCCAAGCTCACGCATGTCCCGCCTGTCCACAGCCGTGTCGGCACGGCCACAGAGGCAGTGCAGGGCTGCAGGGCCCAAAATAACCCCCACCTGGCGCTGCGCGGAAACATGCCTCCGTCTTTATTTAGCACCCTGCTCTCTGCCCTCCGGTGACACGTCCGTCCCCTCACACGCTCCGCACACTCTGCCCCTCAGCAATCAGTGCGGCGACATCACCAGAGACAAAAACAAAAAGGACGGGGGGGGGGGGGGATCCGCGCCTCAGCCCTTAACGGCGATAAAAGACAGAGCCCCGTCACAGCGCGAAGGCCACGGAGAGCGCTAAGGGACCGCAACGCGCACACAGCTCGCTTCCCAGCAAGGCGCCAGGGCGTGTGCTCAACGCCCCTTCCGCCCGTCAACGGCCGACCACTGGGCTCGAACCCAGGAGCGGCTGCCAACCAGAGGCGGCGGCAGTCAGAAAAGCTCTTAAATTGACTGTAATGGGCGTCGGAAAATGGGCGATGAGCACAGGAACGAAGATGAGCCGTAAAAGCGGCAGCTGTCAGAGAGCGGAGATGTGTCAGTGCGTAATGAGCAAACAAGATGCAAATCAGAATTAAAGATGACAGGGAAGGAACAGTGACTGACGTGCAGCATGGAACTAATGGTGGTAAAGCAGGGAGCGGCAACTGAAATGGCGGAGTGCAGGCAGAGTGTGTGAGTGGGGAGCAGGGCTGCCAGGGGAGATGCAGGCGGTGGTGGTGAGGGGCTGAGGGGCAGTGGGACAGCGCCGCCTGCGGTGCCCAAGCAGGGACGTTGCCTTTGCAAACACCCCCCACCCGTGTTAACGAGTGTGGAGGGTGACAGCGGCACCCCCCATCGCTCAGGCCTCAGAGCACGCCCCGCGGACCCCGCACCCGGGAGGGCCGGCCCGTCCCGCCCGGGGGCGCGGGGGGAGCTCCTAGGACCCTGCTCCGGCCAACAAGGCTGACGCTGTGATGGAAGGTGCAGTCTCCACTTAAGCTTTCTAAATATAAATCAGAAATCTGACTGTTTGAAATAGGTTTAACAAGACGATAGCCCCTAATTAACGACTTACTGAGCTTTATAACCCAGAGTGCTTGTTATACAGCAAATTCAAAATAAAATCGTACAACTAAACACGTATATAAAATCGTTCACCTTCAAAAGCATGTTAAGGTGTCACATTTTACATTAGAATTATAATGAAGACGTGTGCGTATGCCGCTCTCTCCATCGCCTCCCTCACAGAGCACGCCGTGAACCCACACACACACAGCAGAGAACTGCCTCGTCTGAAAGGGGGCTAAAGGGGCAGCAGTGACCATCTGCACTCGTTCAGTGCTCACTCCCTCCGTACGCAGGCCTCTCACTCGGCTTTCGTGCGGGGACGCCGTGAGCCTCACGGACGACAGAGCGCGCACCCTCCCCGCTGAGCCGGTCAGGGAAGGCCTCGGGCCAGCGAGGGGGCCTGTGGCATCACAGGGAAGGAGGGCACCGGACATCAGGACACGAGGACAGCGGATGAAGAGGCGACGAGCCCGAGAGCAGCGACAGCAGAGAGAGAGGGTGTGTGTGTGTGCGTGTGTGTGTGTACGCGCGCCCCGCAGACCCCGGAGGGGCCCGTGGTGGGGGGAAGTCTCGGAAAGGTCCAAAGCATCAGGAACATGACTTCATACGACCAAGTACACTTGGCACAAGTGCACAGCGGCCGCACTCAGAGGAGAAACGGGTAAGAAGGGGGTGGAGTTAACGGGACCTGCTGACCAGCGGAGAGACGGAGGAAGCGGGGCCTCCGGGCTGCAGCTCCGGGCCCCGCCCCGCCCAGAGGGAACACGCAGGTGTGCGTAAAGAGCCGCAGGAGAGAAGAAAGGCTTCCTCTGAGCAGGACGTGCACTGACAGCCGCATGCGCGTCAGCACGCGAGGTTCCAGCGGGAAAGGGGCCTGACCGTGTGGGACCGGAGCAGAGGCGCCTCCCAGGGCCCAGAGCAGGCGGAAGCGCAGACTCCTCCCCCCGAGCAGCCCTGCGTCGGCAGGACTGGCCTCGACGCCCCCTCTCTCCCACAAGCATGTGTAACGTCACCCCCATCTCTGCGCCCTGCCTCTCCTTTCAGACGACGAGGGGGCGGGGCGGGGGCCTTCCTTCTTATTCAAGAGCAATCCCTACACCTACAATCTTCTCTCCAACCCTCATGCCTCAAAACACTTGCTTTAATAATCTCGGCCTCTCCTGTATCTTAAGCTTCTTAAACTCCCCTCTCTCTGTGTGTGTGTGTGTCTCACACCCCGACAGCCTCCCCATGAGTTCCCTTCCTCCAGGGCCCTACACAGAGCGCCCTGGGCCGAACACCGAGGCCACCCCACCACACGCTCTCTCCAGTCCTGTCTCCTGCTGCCTGGCGAGGTCGCTGCCCTTACTTACCAAATCCCTCCTCACTCCCAGACGGCCGGACAGGCCACCATGGCCCTGTGCTTTCTCGAGCCTCCCTCCTGCACTTCCCGGCCGTCAGTGGGCTCCTCCGCTGCCGCCCTCACTGCCGTGCGCCTGCCTAGCACGGCCGCCCTCGCTCCAGCCATGCCTCCCGCCTGCGCCCGCTCCGCCTCGCCGCTCCGGCCACCGGCGCCCCTGCCTGAGCCCTGGGCTCCTCCCGCCGTCTCCCCGGAGGAGGCGGGGACGAGGCCAGCGCGTCCGCGTGCCTGGCACACGCGGGCTCGCAGTCGACGGCCGTCACACTGCGCTCGCTCCACACGCTCTCAAGTCCCGCAGCCGCCCAGGGAGCAGGGGCCCAGGCGTCCAGGGGCGTGCGGCTGCCGGCTGAGAAGCAGAAATCTAGCGACACACACCAGGGTTCAGAGCGTTTATTCGTAGGAAAGAGGGGTCTCTATCTCCCGGTTACTGTGAGCGGGAGGTCCGTGCGGATAGGAGGCCCCTGAGGTGACCCAGAGCGAGGCGGGGCCCCGCCGCCCACTTACATTCGGCTGGCTTCAGTGTCGTCAGACTGCGCTTCTCCTGGCGATCTGTGAACGCAAGTGGGGAAAGCTCAGCAAACGCTCCACCTCCGAGAGGGGCAGGTGTTATTCGGGGAGACAAGTTTGAAAACAACACTTAATCGTTAACAGTTTTAAAAGGAATTCAGCATGAGAAAAAAAGCGGTCAGGTCAGACTGCCATACAACACATTTATTTAGGCCTGACTGCTAAACACTCAGTGCATTTTTTTATTAAGGAAAGGAAACTGTAAAAACACTACATTTATACCAACATATAGACCAGCAGAGAGTCCTAGTGATTTACAAAGTCAAATACCTTTGGGGGAAACATACAAAATATGAACTTTCTACCACCACGTGGGTCATCCACAACCTCAAAGGCATTCCCTGGTGTGCACAGTCCCCCTGCGGGTCCGTCAGCCAACAGCTGCCTGAGGCGGGGCGGGGTGGGGCCCGCTGCCAGCGGTGCGGGCGCCCGGGCCGCGGCTTCCATGAGGGGCTCTGCTGTGATAACCAGGAGCTAACACCCACCAGGAGCAGCGGCCATCACGTGCTATGGTGCTGTCTCACAGAGCCATGAAAAGCCTACGACACTAAGCCTGGGGCTGACCCAATGCTGCCCGGCCCTCCTACCCGCCTGCCCACCTGCCTGCCCGCCCGCCCGCCTGCCTGCGCTGTTAATTTAACCCCTGCCGCCCCCTCACTGCCGCAAACAGCATCGGTCAGTGGACACTAAGGTGGACCAACAGAACACTGATTTCTAACACTTTCAAATTCTCAAAATAAATAAAACATATTTTAGAATTCAAAAACTAAATGTTCACAATGACATTACAAGAACTTGATTCCTGAATTTATCACTGACTCGAGACTTCAAATTTTGAACAACTTCAACAAAGGAATCTTAAAATCAAAGCCACCAACAAAAGAATAAGTGTTATACGTATTTCTTATCTCTAAAAAACTCATTTCTTTATCAGACTCTCATAATTACCCCTCTCTACAGGTCAGAGTCCGGGGGGAAATTTGGTGGAAAAGGGACTCCTGCAGCTCAAGCATTTGTTTTAGATTTTCTCTGCAGTATATTTTACATTTTCAATGCCGTACAAAATTATATCAGAACTAAAAATGGGGACGTGCTGGAGGTGGCGGTGACTTGGCAGTGACACGAATGCAAAAATCTCACTCCCCCTCTCCCCCGGGAGCGAGCAAACCACCTCGGTGACACACCTGGTCTCCACAGCCTTGTGGGCAAGTACCCCAAGTTTGCTGCCAAACTGGTATCTCTCAGACAGAAGACTAAAAACTGACTCATTTCTGAAAGTGCGGCCCTCCAGCATCAGGTGTCATACTGTAAGGAGGCAGAGCAGGCTTGCAAAACAAAAAACAAACCTGCTGGCACTAAGGGAAGAGAGGCAGATTAGAAGCTTTCAAACATGGAGGTGGCAAAACTTTCAAATTAACAGGGAAGAGGAGGCGGATGAGGACAGTGACAGGAAAATTAAAATACGACAGCAAAAGGGAAAGACACAGCGAGAAGGCAAGTCCGAGTCCTAGAAGCACAGAGTGACTGCCGCCAGGTGGAGAGTCTGCAAGGGACAGAGGTTAGAGACATCGCCACACGGAACCACATCCCACTCCCCGCGCGCTGACCCCTCCACACAAGACTGCACATCACAGCATCAAACATCCCCCACTGCTGCAAATGCACTGCACTGCCTTGTAATGTTAACAGGGTAAAGGAAGCTACTCAAAACTACTGTAGTCAAACCAAGTGATTTAAACCAATTCAGTCTAAAAGTAAAATATTAAAAAAGACTGAAATACTATTACCCTAAAGCAGATCTATTCTAGGTCTCTCGTACATGGCTAACTCAAGCTGTTTTCACTCAACATGGGAATTGTTCTTTAGTCAAGAGAAAAGTGAATATACACACAACTAGCAAAAATACATTCCAGCAGAGGATAAGTAGCAGAACATATCTGATGACATTTCTACTCATTCTTTTTATAGCATATTTCTACCATATTCTTTTCACAAAAATGTTAAAAATTCTTTTAAGAAAAAATACCATATAATTTAACAAAAAATGTCCCCAGGTAAGGATTCCAAACTCTCAAAACTATGAAGTGTCTAACATCTCTAGACTGCCAGGTTTTTGAAAGTCGGAATCCAACCACATGCTTGAGATTTCACCACACTCAGGAGAGATAATCAAAGGAAAAACAAAAACTACTGACTCTGTTTAACCTGCAGTTTGTTAGAATAACATCAGAAACAAAGCTTTAAAACTGAAACAATAAGCACAAAACATTTAAAAAAATAATAATGATAAAATAAAGCTTGGGTGAGTGTCACTTTTAGGTCTTGATTTGGATGGCAGAAAAAGTGGTCCCCAACCACCCACTATTGTGAACACAGAAAATCACCATGGGGCCTCACTTGCAACCCTATTGTGTGCAGCGTCTCCAGCCTGTAAGACACGCTGCTACCTCCACTGACACTCTCCAGGAGAGAAAAGTATCCTCGTCTCATACAGTTGTTAGAACTTCCAGAAACGTTCAGTTAAAACTCTCATAAAAGGCACACTTTAAAATGCATATTAATAACTTTTTCGTAGTTTTTATAATGTCCAAAATAAAACGTTTCTTAACATGTTTGAGAAGCATTTTCCTGTTTGTTCATACAGACGAGTCTGGGGGAGAAAAAAGCAAGAAATATTCTAGAAGGGATTTTAAGTGGAGAAGCAAATCAAGTGTGTGGTCCACTCTTCTTAGCCGTCTATTCCTACCAACCACACATTTCCTTCATCTATCTACAGCCCACATTTCACTCTACACCGACAGCCTTTCACAGGCCGTGAAATAACATTCAGAAATTACCTTTTACAAGCTGTGGCCATTCGTTGACATCAGGGGATCACAGCTTTGAGTCACTGATTAAAAACAGGTTGTCACACCAGTCTAGCTGCTAACTTGGTCTGAGCGAAGATTTAATAACTCTAATAAATTAAACAAATCTTTAGTTAGAACATTTTAACACACACACCCGATTCACCTTTCAAACGTCATCCAATTAGGTGTCAATGCAACATTCATCAGAGGAGTGACTGCAGACACTGTTTAAGGACTAGTTTCCAGAATTTGCTTTTCTTAAGCGATCTCCTCACGCGAGAACCGTGGCCACCCTCCCTCCTGCTCTACGGAGCCTCGCAGCGTACAAGCACGGCCAACAGCATCTTGTGTGAGTCTCGTGACAACTTACTGAGGCTCTCACCGGGTCGGGCAAACACGATGGTGAGAATTTAAATAAACAGGCAAGCAGCCTCAGAGCGGTTAAGGGACTTGCCCGAGACTTCAGGCCTGCTGGCGTCCACCAGGGTTAGAACTGTCTGGCTTGTCTCCCTTTCCTGCTCCAAGTCTCATCCCTGAAACGGGGTGAATGAGTCCAGATTCACAGTGAGGACTGGGACCCACGGCTCTGTGACACTGAAATGGTCCAACAGTCATACAGCTCTCCAGGCAGCGGAGCTCAGGGGACCGTTCCGTGTGCACATGCAAACGTCCTCCGTTAGCGTGACCGGGCGTGCATGTGCCAGCTCTATCCCTGCTGTGAACCCCACTGCTCAGTGTCAGCAACGACCGGCAAGCGTGACAGCCAGGTCTCCGGGGCCCCCTTGGCTCCGGCGGGCGCCGAGTCCCGGCCCGGCGCCTCGGACGGCGCCCCTGCTGCGCCACAGTCAGTCGGCTGCGGTCCAGGACAAGGGCTCATCTGGTGCAACCAGTTCTTTCCTCCCCTGGCAACCTCCCACATGTAGAAGCCAGCTCGGGAAAGGGGCCGTCAGAGGGTCCTGGCAGCTCCTCCTCCAAGTGACGGCCGGAGGCGGCTCCCGGGAGGGTCCAGACCCCGCTCTGAAGAAAGGCCGGGGCCGAGGGCCCACACCTGCGTGCCTATCAGGAGGGCCGGCCTCAGGAGTGGGATGCAGAATGCCCTGGTGGTCCTGTCTCAGCTACCTGTCTCCCACTGCGGGCCTGGGCATTCCGGAGGCCAGGGCGGTCCCCCTGCCATGCCCAATGTTCCCTCGGGCTCTCATGGACAGATAGTCCATTTGGATCTAGAAGGTTCAGCGACTCTAACTTTCCCACCTGCCAACGTAAAGATGAGAAAGCCACCCCGCCCTTTAATTAATTAATTAATTAATGGGGTGCACGAGTTCACTCAAGAGCCGTGTGGGGCCGAAACCAGGTGCTCAGTGGGTCCCGGGTTCGATTCCGGTCAAGGGCATGGATCTTGGTTGCGGGCACATCCCCAGTGGGGGAGGAAGGTGTGTGTGTGTGCAGGAGGCAGCTGATCGATGTTTCTCTATCATCGATGTTTTGAACTCTATATCCCTCTCCCTCTCTGTAAAAAAATCAATAAAATATATTTGAAAAAAAGTGGTGGGGGGGGGGGGGAGAGCACATGGAGCTGGGAGAGGGTGCAGCCGAGTGAGTCCTCTCGTCCAGCGCCTCCTCTCGAGGGCCAGCCTGCACGCCCCTCCCTCTCTCACCTGCGGGCTGGGCCTGGGCCGTCTTGGGCAAGTGCCTTAATCTCCCTGAGCCCGTTTCCTCCTCGGAGACAGCCAGTGCCCGTGTCAGAGACTCACGGGGCGAACGAACGACATACGGACGCTCAGAAGAGTGCCCGCACACATCAGCACTAACAAATGGAAGCTATTTTTAACTCACAGCCTCACAGCCAAGGCCGTCTCCTCCGTCTTCCTGGGCACATGCTCACTCCTCGGCACACTGGCCGCTCCTGGATTCATGGGGTCTGCCTGGCGGCACTGCGGCTGGCGCCGGCTCGGTGCTCTAACCCTGACGGCACCCCGATCTGCTGCACACACGTGTCATTACTCCAACCAGACATCCACATGCACATGCAATTTGGAATTCCAAAAAAATAAAATAGAAACATACCATATTTCGCCAAACTTCTGAGGAGCTGGTGGATTCTAAAATCAGGATCTTTCAGCGTTTTAACCTAAAATAGAAAACACCTCACTCAGTTTTTGTTTTGTTTTTACATAGACAACGGGATAAACTTTCAAAGGACATTTTTCTCCCATTCACTACAGAAGCAAGCTCATCCTCTGTAAGGTTTATGAGCGTCCACACACACACACACACACACACACACACACCCCAAGCACAGGGCCGGCTGCGGCAGGGGGACAGGAGGGCGGTGAGGCCCTGTCTCTCAGCGGGCAGACCCAGGGCTCCTGTTTGCACCGAGCTCAGTGCTGGTGCTCTCTCCTCCCTCCTCCCCTAGGGCTGATGAGGAGGTGAGAGCAGTCAGTCCAGCGGGCCCCAAGGCCGTGAGAGACCCACCCAGTCCCTCCCACCAGAGGGAAGACAATAGGCCAGCCCTGGGGGCATTCAGTAGAGTACTAAGAGACGTGGTTAGTGACCTCCAACTAAAGCCTTCTCCAGACACACCCTAAGACAGCCTTGCAAGGATCAAGCAACCACAATACTGGGCTGGCATCTAAAACAGACAGACACTAACAAAACAAAACCCAGTCAATAGACAGCAGACTATTACAGTGTACAACATCTAATAAGAAATTAGTAAAAATGCAAATAAGAAATTTTGGCCCATAACTATCAGAAAAAAAAAAAAGTCCTGAAATGAAAGATGGAATCAGGAGACAAGAACTTTCAAATTACTATAAACACGCGCCAGGATTCAAAGGAACATCACATGAAGAAAGAAAGAGAAAACCTTAAAACAAACCAAATGGAAAAACCAACCCAAAGAAATAAACTAATACCTGAAGCACTGACACCACAGGAGAAAGAAGTGAATGCAGCACAGAGAGAACGAGATCAGACACAACCTGGTGATGGCCGAGGACAGCACCGAGTGGTCCAACAAGCAAGAGACAGCACAGGAGGGAGGGAGAGGATAGTCAGCCGTGTGTGAAGAAATAACAATTGACACTTCTCCAAATCAGATGAAAGTAAACTCACACATAAAAAAATAAAAAATAAAAAGATAAAAGGAAAGAACTCAACAAATCCTTATCAGGGCAAACACAAAGTCAATGATAAAAAGAAAATCCTTTCTTAAAAAAAAAAAAAAAGAGAGAGAGAGAGAGAGAGAAAGAGAGAGGGGTAGGAAGTGAGGAGGAAGGGGAGTCTGTAAGGTGGGGTCTGGCTGCAAAGGTGTGTCCATCTGTCTGACTCGGGAAACCGTCTGCGTGGCAGCTGCTCCGAGAAGGCCACAGATCGGACCGTCCACATGACCGGAGGCCAGCCTGGCAGCCAGTGACCTGTCACACCCTCCCACGCCTCCGTTCCAGAACCTCCCATGGCTCCCCTGTGACTCCCCGGTAAAACTCAAACTCCTCATTATGAGCAAATGATCAGAGCCCTACCTTCTCTGACTCCGCTTCCCGCCATTCCTTTCCTGAGGCCACACCGGCCCCTCGCTGTTCCCCTCACCAGACGCTCCGGGAGACGCTCCTTCCCTCTCTCCGCCTGAGAGGCTCCTCCTCCTCAGGCCTTCGTTCCGGCACCACCTCAGCAAGCTTCCCTCTGGCCACACACTCCCTCCACCCATGAACCCTCTGCACCCATCAAACACCATGCAGTACACAATGTCTTACAGGCGCGCATACAATGCCTCCTTCCCCGCCACGTGCAGGTCCATGAAAACAGGAGCCCGGGCTCTGTGCTCTCGCATCCAGAGCCACTTAGGACACAGCAGGTGCGCAGTCTGCATCTGCCGCAGCGACGAGGTGGACGCACACCAGCCACCCCCTCCGAGCAGAGACTCTGCAACCCGATACGAGTTCAGGACAGAGAGCTACACACAAGCACTGAACAATCTGAAAACGGAATTCAGTCAACAGCTCCATCAGCAATAACTTTAAAAATAAAATACTCAGAGATGTATTTACATTCATATTGAACAAAAGTGTTGAGAAATATACACTAAAAACAAATTTTTTTAAATAAATGGAAAAAAATCCCATGTTCATGGATCAAGACATAAAATTAAGGTAGCCATGAATCCACCAATTCAACATGACATCCAATCAAAATCCCAGCTGCCCTTTTTGCAGAAAAACAAGCTAACCTTAAAATTCGCAAATTCCCAAAACCCTAGAGAGCTACAATAGTCTTGAAAAAATAAGAACAAAGTTAAAATGTTCACCTTTACCAATTTGAAAACTTACTACAAACACATAGCATTCGAGAGCATTATGTCGGAGGCTCAAGAACAGACACAGAAATCTATGGAAAAGGAAGAGTCCAGAAATGCACTCCACCACTTATGGCCCAATCTTTTCCACAGGGAGCCACACCCACCCCGCGGGCTGGAAGAAGTGGGTCTCCCTAAGAAGAAGCGGGCGCCCCAGCTCACATCACAGCACAAGATGTACAGCTTGTGCACCTCAAAGCACACAATTCATGCCAGTGCAAAGGCAACCTACAGAACAGGAGGGGCTATTTGGAAACCACATTATTTGACAAGGCACTTATGTCTATAACGTACTAGTAAACAACACTTAAAGCTCAAGATTTAAAAAACAAAAAACAAACAAAAAAACCACCCCAATTTAACAACAGCAAAAGATTTTAAATAGATTTTCTGCAAAGATGGCAAATCAGCACATGAAATGACAGGTACACTTTCACAGGGGTCAAGGGCACGGAGAAGGCGGTGAAGGGAAGACCAATGGTCATGGAAGGAGACTTGACCTCAGAGGGTAAATACACGATACAATATTCAGAAGATGTGCTATAGAATTGTACACTTGAAACCTCTATCACTTTATTAATCAACAAATTCAATAAAAAGTATATTTTAAAAATAAAAGGGACAGATAAGTTTTGGAAGGGAAACAGAGAAGTCAGAAAGAATCCTCATACATTGCGGATACAACTATAAACCACTTTGGAATGATAACAACAAAATTAATAACCAAAAACTGGAAATAATCCAAACAGCTGTGTAACATTGTTCTGCCTCGAAAAGGAGTGATGCTAGATGCTGTAACGGGCGTGAACCTGGGAGGAAACACTGTGCTGAGCAGAAGCACACACCTTTATGGCTGCGTTTATGCACGGTGTCTGCACAGGCACATGCACAGAGCAGGACGGCAGACTGGCGGCTGCCAGGCGCTGGGAGACGGGAAAATGGGAGCAACTCCAGGGGTTGCACAAGGGCTTCTTTTGGGATGATGGAAACATCCTAAAATCAGATAGCAGTGACGGCTGTAGAAGGGAACACACTAAAACCCGTAAAGGGGTACACTTTATGGTCTGTGAATTGTATCTCAATAAATCTGGAAACTATACCAAACGTATGGCATGATTTCTGTGAACGGCCCTCAATAAAAGGGAAAATAGCTTCACGTATCTGTACTTACACAGATACGCCTGGTATAATATTTGCCAGCTTTGTTTTTCTAGACTTAATTTTAACAACTATTATCTCAGAATTTAGATTTAAAAAAAGAGGAAATTGTTACTTTTCTACTGAAAAATACCCCTTTGTTTATTTTCTGTATTTCCTCACTCTCAAAAATAAATTCTAATAAAAACAGGAAAAAAAATAAGTTCTACACCAGCATCTGCAGGTGGAAGGGGCAACTAAGCACAAAACACAAGAGGCTCTGTGAAATAAATGCTAGAATCCAGATCTGCCAATGTTAACATGCTGTCTTTTATTCTCTGGGCTCTTGTGTGAACGCTGATCTGAGTGTCACCTATGGAGCCCCTTTAGGAATTGCAATCACTGTGCCCATCTCCTCCGGGCACGTGCCACACAGACCACGACCAAGGCCCTGCCCGTCCCATCTCGCTAGTGCAGAGCCCAGAGGCAGGCGAACCTGCAGCCCTCGCCTGCCCAGGACGCAGCGCGCCCACCCAGCACTGGTAAACACCTAAAGCTGCACATGAATAGGGACGGACAGACAGACGGCACTGATCTGTTACTGTCCTCGGGATCTTCAGTCCCGGAGGTAAGCGGCCCATCTATCCTCCAGCTGAGGTCCGTCTATGTTTAAGGTCACCCTCCCTGCTTTCACCGAGCCCAAAAGATGGAAATGTTCAGGGGAGGGAGAGAGACCACAGGTTTTACTGTTTCGGTCTGAAGGGCCGTAACTAAATGTAAAGAAACGTGTAGGACGTGATTGAGAGGCTGAAGTCCAGCTCCCGAGTGATTTCCTGTTTCCCCTCTGGGTGACACGTGTGCCCAGTCCGTCCAGGCTGCCGGACAACATACCCCCGCTGGCGGCTCGCCAGCAGCCCTCCCCGCCCGCAGGCTGCACGTCCGCGCTGAGGCGCCAGGGCTCCAGGGCTGCTGGCGTCAGCGAGGACGGCTTCCGCGCTCACAGACGGAGGCCCCCCTGGTCCTCACGGGAGGGGAGCTCTGGTCTGGGGAAGGGCAGGAATTCCTTAGAGTTCACGGGCCCACCCGGAAGGCTCCCTGTGACTGGTTACCAGCTCCCCTCAGAGAACCACGAGAGAAATTAATCCATCAGGACACGTCACATACAACAGGTGCCCCAGAGACAAGTACATTCTAAATTGCCTGGAGAAGAAGCTTAAATACGTAACGTCCTTTCTTATGGCGCACGGTGAGCTATCAGCTAAGGCTATCGGGTACGGCTGTCTGTCACGCACACAAACCCCTAAGGAAACGTCTAACTAGACGGTCGATAGGCTGGACGTGGCCCCAGCTTCTCCCAGGACCATCGGCTGCAGGCGGACCGGCACTCCCCTCCCTCCGAAGAGGCTTGGCCTCTGAGACAGACGGGTGCCTGCTGGGGACTCCCTGCAGCTCACCGTGTGCCTTCCAGCCCACCTGCAGCCAGCCACGGCCAGAGGACCACCACACCCATGTCAGAGGGAGCGCGGGAGGTGACAAACCCTGTCCATCCCTAAGGGTACGCCCACGGCTGCCGCACTGCCTGTCTGTGTAATATGGGGACTCAGAACACACTCTTCCTCACAGAGAATGTGAGAACA